AGATCCCCCAGGAGGTTTATTATTTAAAAAACAAAACGGGGCACGTGGGTGGCTCAGTCAGTTGAGTGTCTGGCTTCAGCTCAGGTCATGATCTCACAGTTTCGTAAGATCGAGCCCCGCCTCCAGTGCTGACAGCTCAGAGCGTGGAACCTGCCTCAGATTCTGTGTCGTCTCCTCTCTCTGCCCCTCCTCTGTCAATAATAAATAAACGTTAAAAAACAATTTTTTTAAAAAACAAAACAACACAGCAACAAAAAAACTGAGACTGTCACTCATTCAACACAAATATTAATGCCTACTATGTGCCAGGAACTGATATAATTACTACAGAGAAAATATGAAGAAAAGGCCCTCATGAAGCTCACAGTCACACAGTGGGAAAGATGGTCACCAAAAGAGAAACAAGACTAGCACCATGCACAAAAGAATAGAGCTTTGATAGGGAAGTCCAAAAGAAAAGAAAGCACAACTGGATCTGGAAGGGTGCACAGGAGTCTGCCAAGGGGATAGATGAGAAGGGGGAATTTCCAGGCAAAGAAGACAAAATACACAAAGGCACAAAAGGAGGAACACATGAAGTTATCTGGTAACTGATGAAAAGATGCTTTCCTTTAGCTTGCCATGTTAAAGTAAAATGTAGCCTGGGAATAATAGGAAACCACTGGAGAATTTCAAATGAAGGAGTTACATGATCAGATTTGTGTTTGAGAAAAATGACTTTGGGGTCAGTAGTGGATTGGGAGAAGTAATCAGCAACGGTTACATCAGCAAACATTGCTCCAATGCCCCAGACCTTTATTAGCACAGTGACTGTAGGATGGGGAAGGAGGAGGCAGGTTTGGAGACAAACTAAACCTGATCTAGCAACTCACTAGATATGAAGGGTGAAGAGAAAAAGGAGTCAAAATTAACCCAAAGACAGTAGCTTGAGAAACATTAAACCAATAATGATACTACTCACTTGAACAGGACAAAAAGGTTGAGAGAGGAGTTAGATAATAATTTTGCTTTTTGACATGTTGAGACTGAGACGCCTGAGACATTTAGGTATGTATGTCCATTATGCAGCTGGAAATCTGGACCTGGAATTTAGGAGAGAGGGAAGCTACTGAAGGTCTAGGTGAAGAGACCACTGGTGGCATGCAGCAGCGAAAGCCACAGGTGAGTATGAGATTTGAGACAGGAAACAGAACAGGAAGAGAAAGAAGCTAAGAAACACATTGAGAAACACCCACACTTAAAAGTCAGTCACAAGGAAGAGGAAACAGCAAAGTGTGACCAAAGAGAGTCAGTCAAGGGAGGAGAACCAAGAAGACACTGATGTCAAAGAAGACTAGAGTGTTCAATAGGGTCAACTTCCCCCCAAAAGGAGAGGTTATAAGGAAGTTATTGACTTCTTTCAAGGAGTCAGTAAAGGAAGGATACTTTTTCACCTTTTTCAAGAAACTTGACAGAAAAAAAGACAGCAATTTAGAAAGGAGAAAGGCCTATGCTTTTGTAGCTGGGGCAGTTCAAGGACTAACAGGAAGATCCAAGGGGAGAAGAAAGACTGAAGACTCAGAATGAACAGAAGGACAGGTAAAAGAATCAGTGACAGAAATTCTGGAGAGGAATGAGAAGAGGGTTCATGTACACAGGGCCTCCATTTCCTCTGAGAAATCAGATGCAAATTCATCTCCTGCCCATGAAGGAGGGCATAAGGAAAGAGGAGCAGCTTAAAGCAAGTGCCAATACTGGTGAAAGCTAGGTGCTGTGGTAAGAGCTCACGTTCATCATCCCATTTAATCCTCACCACGATCCTATGAGAAGGTACGACTATTATCACCATTTTACAGATGAGCTACAGATAAATAACTTGCCCAAAGCCACACAGCTAGAAACTGACAGAACCCCAATTTCAACCTAGGAAAGGTAGTTTGTAGAGCTTCTGCTCTTAACCTCTGAATGATAAAACATATCATGTGATATTCACAATACCTGATAAGCAAGTAGGACAGGTATTCTTTCACTTATACAATTATAAACAAAGATTGCAGAGGTAACACCAGGACTTCAAACTAGTAGTCTTTTTTTTTTTTTTTTTTTTTTTTTTTTT